GAATTTCTAAGTTACACATTTGCAATACTTCCTTTGATGTAAACTGAAGTAGTTGATGTGCAAGTAATCTTGATGACAGAATGACACCTCAACACTATGGATGTTTAAGAGATCTTGAAATTTACGTATTATCCTCTAATACTGGAGAACGTATGAGGTCTGCTTTTGCATACAGCGTCAATATGAAAAGAGCTGTAGAATAAAAATAATTTCATTTGCAGGAGAATTCTACTTGGTATTAATAAGAGCAGTGTATTCACTTTGCATACTTATATGTAGAATTACCTTTTATAACGTAATGTTGTTCCAGTCCTTACATGTGCTTTATTTTCTCGGGTTTACGAAGGTTGCCGAATATGAAATCAGCGGAAGTGTCGAAGTAACGATAATACCCTTGGTCAAAATTTTCTTTTGTAAATTAGTGAAATGCTCAACATACTCTTAATTTCTACTTCTACTCGACTTCTTCAGTGCGTCGCTATACTATGTGCTTTTGTAAAATATGAATTCTGATTAATGCATGCTAAGCTTAGTTAGTGGGATGAAGATTTGCTGTAGTGTTATGAAATTGTTACTTTAGTTATTGACAGGATTTCGCTTCTGTTTTTATACAATAGCACATTATAAAAGATAAGTAGGATATAACAAATCGAATAATAATTCTCTACTGTTAGATACGCTGAAGTCGCCTTGTTTAGTCAGTTGCAAGTCTGCATACTGCTAACCATCAGGTATGTAGTGCAAGTAAATGTAGTAACCTAGGGTTGATAGCTACTTCATTAACCTGTTGATATGCAGTGACATCGTCATATGGACTTGAGCTAAGAAACAATTCTTATTTATTTCTAATATGCCGTTCAGTAATGTGGTATTAACTAGTACCTATCATCTTCATGACCAATAACTGCTGTATTCGCACATCTACTTTATTTTATATATTTTTATTATTTTGATTACAGCTTGATGCCACACCGTATTTTCAGTACAAGTATGGAATTTTCAGCATGGATATCGGTAGCCCAATTTTGCAGGCCGACGATTGATATCGGGTGTGCGTCGGCAGGGGATCGAACTCCGTACCATGTGCATGGTCGGTGAGAGTCCTAACCACTGTGCCACCGAGGCACATTTATGGATATTAAATTACTTGCGGTTTTATGCATCTAATTGGAACTAACAAACTTTAGTGACACCATTTTATCCTGCTTGACGTGTCCTTCTTGCTTTTTTCGTCATAATAGCGTGTTTCACCACACAGCGTATCAGTCTTAAACATACACATGTAGGTATGATGTTCCTGAGCTAGGTATGGGAATCAAAGTAAACGATTGTACTGTACATTCATTACTTATAGGACTACCTAGTAAGGTATGTAAGAACCACGATTTGAACAGTCACACAACGTACGCTGCTTACTTTGACGCATTACCTAAAGCTATGTAGCTACTTAAAAATAGTTTCTGCTGGGTGTATTCTCCTGTAGCCGCTACCTCAGTGAACAACTTTACGTTATCTTTGAATTACAAAATGGACATTCTACGAACTTTCTTGGTGAAAAAATCGTCTCCAGTCAAAAAAGGAAATATATCCTAATCTGCACGAGAGCGTCTAGGGGTATTTATTCCATCACCACAACACCTCAAGTGATTCATTATTATGAGTCACTTACAAAGTAAAAATAAATCTACCGAAGACCGTATGCTTCTGATTTCTAGATGTTGTAATGCACCATGAGGAAAAAGCTATATCCATGGGGTTATAAAAGTAGGACGCACGGTATTAATCCGAAACACGACTATGGTTCTCAGCTACAGAACATCATACTTTGCCACCTATTTGTCTAATCGTGTCAACAAATGTTTCGTCAAGAAAAAGAAGACCACCAGTTCAAGGAAAATTTATTAAAAGTTTTCTTAAAAACGATGGAAATCCGCGGAGAAATTACAAACATCCGAGGAATAAGAATTTCATTATTGGAACTGGAACAAGCAATTTGTACTTAACCAATGTTTTCATTACGAAAAATAATCGGCTTCTTAGCTTCTTGTAACTTCGAAAATGCCACCGATTGTAGACTACAATCCAAAAAGTTATTCTTGTTAATTAAGGTTTTACCTACGGTAGTTCGTACAGTGATTAGATCATCGCATGTTGTCCGCTTTTTAAATCGTTCTGCAACATATCGAATGGCTGTTAACATTATCTTTACTACGGACAGTTCAAGTCCATGATTTGGATCTGGTACATTAGGCATTAACAACCGTAGGTAACACTTACCCTTTAGAGATTTCTGATTTCCCTTCGATTACTTTTGTTTCCAAAAGCACATACAATACCACATATTCACACTTCACATGTGTCTCATCCCTGTTTAATTTAGATTCTCTCACAATATATCGGGTGTTTGTTAACCGTTAATGAACACACTGATGGTATACCCACCTTCTCGAAAAGCTTCAAGGCTTTCTCAACTTCAACCCAGGTTCTAAATTTCCTAGGTTTAGTATATTCTTCGAAAATATTGCTAATATCAAGTCTGAGTGTGCTGTCTTTACTAGATTGACTGGTAGATTGTTGCATGCTATAAACATAAACTTGAAAGACTTTTTTCCAGATTCCTACATATTAATTGACCGATTGAGCCAGCAACAATAGCGGCAGATAACAAATGAATAGGAAACAACAGATTCTGCCACCCAAAAATGATCATGTGCATAATTTCTAGAAATTCTACACAATAGTATTTCATTAATAGCTGAAAAACTACTAAATCACTGTAACCACGCATGAATGTTAAGTATGAAACAATTACAATGAAATGAATGAAATGACCTGGTGGTAAAAACTTTCGGAATAATAATAATAATAATTTACTTTATTCCAAAAACAGTACTTATAATACAGAATGGAATTCTCAGCATTTGTCACAATATTGCATCTGATTTACTCAAAGTGTATATAAAATTAAAAATTTAAAACAAAAATTAATCACAGAAATTTGTCCACATTAACGACATAATTATTAGATATAGTAATAATAATAATAGTAATAATAATAATAAATACTAATAACAGTGAGTTTGTTTCAAACGGTATTGTCAATTCAGTTTGGAAACTTTAGCATGTTATAGATTATTGGGTCTAATGTTCTGTTGATATAGTATAGTGAGGTGAAATACAAAGTTAACAGTCATAATACAGCTTAAAATTATGTCCACAGTTATGAAAAATAAAATAAACAAAACGAAAAAATTGAGAGGATTATAAATATAAGAAATACAATAACAATAAAGTATGATGCTTTAAGGTTGAAGGAAACGGTCTATTTAGTGGAGCTAAGAAGGTTAGTTAGTTCATTTCTGACACTATTTTCATCACATAGAGTACGTGCTAAATATGGTATAGTGGAATTTTTATACTTAGACGTACGTGCATAAAGTCTTCTGAAAAGACTTCTTGTTTTACCTGAGGAGACACAAGGTTGGAGCTGCGGGTAGAGTGGGTGCTCAGAGTCTGACAAAATTCCTCTAGCGAATCTGTTGCATGACATCAAATGCCTATCGGTGACAATGCCAACGATATGGCCCAATGGGATACCACTAGACCTACTGACAGTCCTCAGAGTTCTACGAAGTATGACATAATCTTTTTTAAGCAAACCAGGAAAGAATAAGGGTGAACAGTAAAGAAGAATAGGTAAAATACACGAGTTGACAAACTGTAAGAGGAGTGGTTGCGTTATGCCTGAGTGCCTTAACTTCTTAATGTAAAAAGTCAAACGAAATATTCTTTGAGAAATCGCTAAGACATGAGAAGACCAAGATAGGTCAGAAGAGAGAACTAATCCAAGATACTTAACTTCAGACTGGGTTTCTATATCAGTATCATCGATTTTGCAAGGGTCATAGGAACCAACGGCTTCATTTAACTTTCGTTTACATCGGAAACTGAAATTAACAGTCTGACATTTGGAAGGATTAAGTTTAAGGCCGTTAGACGAAGACCATTTGCTAATTTCTGATAGAAAGTTGTTAATCTTAATACAGTCAAGTTGAGAGTTAACAGACATTGAAATAGTTAAATCATCGTCATACTTAACAAAGTTCATTTCGTCAGAGCGAGGCAAGTCATGCAAGAAGAAAGAAAACAGAAAAGGAGAAAGGACAGCGCCTTGAGGGACACCAGCCTGAGTAAGCAATGAAGTGGACGACTTTCCCTGATATACAGTGTATTGCTTTCTTTCTGAGAAATAAGAATGGAGCCATTTGACAACCCAACAGTCAGTTTGAGTTTCAGCAAGCTTGTTTAGTAAAATGTCCCTAGGTACTGTGTCGAAAGCAGATGTATAGTCTAGAAATGTGCAGCGAACAAATTTAGCCCCCTTGTCTAAGCTGGAGACAATGTTATGATGCAGGACTGCAGCTGCGTCCAAAGTACTTCTACTATGTTTGTAGGCAAACTGTTTGGGATCATTAAAGGCTTTAAGTGAAGGCTGAAGATTAAGTAAGAGCAACTTTTCCATAGCTTTTAGAAAAGGGGAAGTAATAGCAATGGGTCTGAATTTAAAACATGTCGCAGTAGACGACTTAGGAATAGGTACAATTTTAATGTCCTTCCAAGCGGCTGGCACGACATTTTTGGAAAAAGAATCATTGAATATGTCCATGAGAGGATAACACAGATATCTGCACAGTTAAAATACTAGAGAATGAACTAGCTAATTCTAACAACAACGGAAACAAAAATAATGTGAAACGTAACATTTGTGAACAGTGTGCACCAAGATAAGTTGTGAAAAACTGCAGGATAAACGTAAAAGACAATGTGTAAACGAACGGTTAGTGAACGTCAATCCACCATGACCGACTAACATGGATGAAAATGAGCTTCAGGTGTCTCACTCTTCCAGTGTCCTTGAGCGTGTGCGATAGTTTCAGTCCATCCACACAAGACTCAAAAAGATATTGGATACTGTACATGTTGGCGCGCTTGTTATGGTGTGTGCGTTACTTGGGCTGTAAGCGAATACTAATTATCAAATAATACAGAGTCTAAGGTCATCAAAATATTGATGAGTTGCCAGCTTATTTTGAGCGAAATCGGCATAGTTAAAGTATCACATCCAAAGCCAATGTCTTTCAAATGCCGACCTTCAATAACCAGTCAGATTCAGGGAATGCTATGAAAGGTAGTTCCAAATAAAGTCATGTCTGCCTTTCTGGACTTGGAGAAGGCAGATACAGCACCCCACTTATTATCCAGTTACTTTTTCTGTAATATATACCGTAAGGTGCGTCGGTGGCACAGTGGTTAGGACTCTCGCCAACCATGCACATTGTCCGAGGTTCGATCCCCTGCCGGCGCACACCCGATATCTATGGTCGGCCTGTGAAATTTGGGCTACCGGTATCCATGCTGAAAATGCCATACTTGTACTGAAAATACGGTGTGGCATCAAGCTGTAACCAAATAGGCTTATGGCTTTAGGATCTAGGGTTAAAATTATGAATAAATTTAGGATTGAGTTACGATTAGGTTTCGAGTTAGGAATAAGTCAAAAAACAGTGTCAGAAATTTCAAAAGGTCTTAGAGTATCATGACCTGCAGTCACCCGGATGAATGTATCTATCGAGCTTGATATTTCCCTAGAGATCATCGATCTAGTGACTGGAAGACATTCTTACAACACATAAGCAACAACTGTACAGTATAATGTCATGTTTGTAAAGATTTTTGGAGCATTTCCCAACGTTTATGCGGCTTCTTTGCATCTGAATTCTGATTGACTGCTATAGGTCACTGTAGCTTTGGCTATGATAGTTTAACTTTGCCCATAAATCAATAATTTTCCCACCTGTTTTTGGATTTTACTTCCACAATCTAATGAAATTTTGGGCGCTTGGTCACTCTTCACAAATTGAGTTAGTTATGGATCAGCTTTTTGCCTACCACTTATGTATCTTCACCATCAAATGTTGTCGGTAGGTAACTCTCCTGATACTTATGACTACGAACCTGACCTATTCTCTCTTTTCCTTCCCAGCGGGTCGGAATACCTTAGAGGACATGGCAGAAGAGTTCAAAAGCCAAGAAGAAATCATATTGCTGTTGATTACTGGTTCTCACATCGAGTCGCAAACTCTTGGAACCGACTCCCGGAAGAAGTGGTGTCTGCAACCTCAACTGATTCATTCAAGAAGGGTTGGGACAACCACAGAAATTTACTAGAAAAGGATTAACATAGGCTTCAAGCCTTCTATCCTCAACAAATAAATCTGAATCTTAGTTCCATGAACCTTACCTATGGTCACTTAATAATATTATTTCGATTCAAATAATAACGATCGAGTGAATTAATTCAAGACTAGCATTCTGAATGGTTAATTTATCGGTATGCGAATTGATTTATACACTTGAGAAAAAAGCATTGTATGCTTTTCTATCCGAGGCAGTGTGAAAGCTGACTAAAATGACAGTGGTTAATCTGTTTTTAAATCGGAAGACATTGCCTTCACAATTTTATTTCCCCTTGCTAAATGTGTGAGTTTATATCGCTGTCTGAATTGTTTGCGTAACATATTTCTAATGTAACAGATTTTAATTTCTGATGTCTTGGTAAATTTAAATTTCAGCAATAAATTGGTCAGGTCATCATATATTCATAAGCAACATCTGTCTCTTTTTGAACAATGGGAAAACGAAAACCTTTGAATAATCATCCACCGTCCACATTTTCTCCTGTTCATCATCACATGAATTTACTGTGTCAACAAATGTTTCTATACGCGAAATGTCAATCAAGAACAGATGATTCATTTACAAAACAATTATGTTTGTTAACTTCGAAAAATTTAATGACACTTAGTCAAAAATCTCAGACACGTTTATCATTGGCTATTCGTCGGTCATTATGCACAAAGTGTTCGATTCCTCTTCATATGTCAGGCAAAGTACGAATGAGAAAAAGAAGTATTTATGTACATTGTTCTCTGTGTAATCATAAACAGACTATTGATTGTCCATATAACCAATGGTGTTCAAAGTATGTTGAATCCGTGCTGCCGGATTCATCTTGTGATAAATTACTGGAAGAATATAACAATGAGTGAAAATTTGTGGAATTTTACTTGTAGTATTATTTGGCTGGGTCTCCACACTTTTCAATACTAGAGACCTTGTTTTATGTTCGTTTGTCATATTATGCTGTTGCTTAAAGTGAGGGTAGATTGCGAACTAGCGCCTGATCTCCATAAGTGACGCTTTCACCTCACATCGGTCTATGCAACAACTTATTATAATAGACTCATGAATACATCTGACAGGTAACTGAGATTTACCACAATGGGTGCGTGGCTCATTAATCTCAGTTCTTGTTTTCTGCTTGCATCTAAAAAGCGCCTAATTGTTTTTAGGGCATGCAGTTGAGTATTTATTTCGCATAAGGGGTGGGAATGGCGTTGTAAAAAAGATTGTATCAAATAAGTATTTCCCTTAACACCCTTCGAGTGGCTAAGATAAATGGTGAATACGGAGAATAGTAATCAATTAAGCCTCTTATTTGCAGACTACACACTGAGGTGAAAGTTTACTTTGTAAACACAAGGTATTCGGGTAACAATATATAACCGTCTTGATAGCATAAATGATAATGAAGGGAAAATGCAAAGAAGCATTTCCGCTCCGACTCAGCTGGCAAGTAATATCAGTTGATCTGAGTAGTTTCGAACTCGTCATATCAATCAATTGTTGTGTGTACCGTCAATTGTAACCTATGTTTGTCATTCAGTGATTTCGATTAATACATATATGTCTGCAAATATATTTATTCCTTTACGGATTCAACTTTCAAGTGGCGTTTCTTGAACTAAAACTGTTCTACCGGTCTCGACTCAGACATTTGCGTAATATCATTCTTACACAACGTAACTGATCGAAAAGGAATATAGAGTAATTGAGTTGAATTTTTACTTTCGTATCGTTAGTCCACTAAAGAGAGGCGTCCTAAGTAACATAGTATTAGGGAGGGTGAGTGAAATCTTCTGGGTGCTGTTGTCTGTTCGCTCATTTATAATCTGTGTTGGTTAAGTCCTGTCCAATCCCCTCACGAAATTGAAAAGGTGAATGTTGAATATAGAGAGTTTATCTGCGAGGATTTGGAAAACCTTGATTCTGAATCAATAGTGCACATAGATATCTGGTGAAAACGACAAGTGTATGTACTTGCTTCTATGGGATTTAGTAGCTCATCAATATAGGTGCTTGACTTGCAACTACTAGGTTTCAGGTTCGTGCCCTGCCTCGCACACCGAGGTGTGGGCAACCAGATAGTAACCCTGGCCCTCATACAATAGGTATGGCTTGTTGCAAACTGCATGGGAATGAGTTAGAGTTGTTACTTGCTCCTGTCATGCACGCAGTGACATTGCCGTCCTACCTTGTGGATTGGTGTACAGGCCAAAGGTTTGCGGAATAATCTTCCTAGTTAACCATGTGTTGTGTATTCGGGCATTATTTTACCTTTTATACTAAATAATGGTGCACTCATCTGCTTCTCATTATTTGGTATCCTAACCTTTTATAATTTCAAAATAGTTACCTGTACAAAGCTCTCCCGCAGTATTATACACAACACAACTGTTCTTACAGCCTAACCAGTCCACTAGAGTACTGAGCATCAATTCAGGTGCAGGTTATTGTTTTCATTCTACTGCTTAAACGTCACTTTCTCAGACATAGGCTGTCAACCTGTGTAATGACTAATATCGCCAGGTGGACAAATCTTGCGATTGAGATAAAAATTTGAGATGATTATGAACAATAAGTTGTATTGGAAAAATCGGTCAGTAAATAATACTGCTTCACTGTGTAATATATGCAATATGCAAATAATTATGGAATTGCATAATACCACAGTGCCCAAGTTTTACATGTCTACTAAACATTTGACTAGGTTAGTAGTCAGTTCCTGTAGCACTTTCTGTCGATATTGAGACAGGTAGTTCTCAGACTAAATAATGCGATCTTGTCAAAACTAAGGGGTTAGTTTTACAGCCTGGCTGACAGGTTTCAACGTAGAAGTTTGCACAGATATGCAGCAGTTCGAGTTGCCACTCTTACTCCATGTAGTACACAAAGCAAGAGAAGAGAGTAAAGAGAAATGATAAACAGAACTGTAAGGCGAAGAAAATAGTAATACGGAAGAATAATAGTGTTTTATTGGATAAGACAGATCACAAAGAGTGAAAATGCATCTGCACCACCCATTGAGAACGATTTTCAGCCATATCACCAACTGTCTTCAGCTACTGGTTCTTAGTGCCTTAAGGACCCCAACCAGTCAGGAACTCTACACCTCCCTACGTGGCTCGCTGGCCGGCCTAAACTGACTGATGAAGCCATGTTTTAGTTTGACCACCAATAGCTCTTTTCCAACCAGATCCATCCTATGTTAGATAACATCACCCGTCGAGGAAGGCAATCTCTAAGCATATGCGTAACACATGTCCTAGACATCTCAATCGGTATAACTTTACAACATTGTCGAGTGATTATTTTTAGAGACAGTCATCTTTCCATTATTTTTTTTTTTCATTCTAAGTGGAACATATGACCTCAATGCTTATAGCAATTTCAGTATTAGTGGTGTTGTGTTTACGGGGTGAGCTTCCTAGCCTCATGCCTAACTCTCCCATTTTTCTGGGCCTACTGTCGGTTAGTAAACTAGGCAGGATTTAAGAGTGTGTAAACAAGGAATCGAACCCAGACCATGGTTATGGTTACCGGGAATTATACTATTGAGCCACCAACACAAGAATACGTAAAACTCCAGTAATAATAGTGTCATTTTCGTGGTGTGGGTTTGTTAGACTCACGTCAAACCTTTTCGCTCTTGAGAGCTCACTATCTGCCGTCTAGTAAAGTAGGCTAAGTTTTGGAATGCGTTGGCAGGGGATTGTTCCCAGACTCTTAGCATGACCGGCGAGGATAGAGTATTTTTATTAATGCTACGTATATACGCTTGTTAATCTTTGCAAGATATACTACACGGTGTCAATGATATAAGAATAGAACTTGTGCATTGTGGTAGAGTATAATTCCACTATGAGTAAAATTTATTTTGATAAAGTCTCACAGTGTTATACAGTAATATTTACTGATGCGACCACGTTTCGAGCACAATTTATTACTGCTCATAATCATATCAAGACACTACTCACACAACTTTCTAACTTCTTTTATATAATTCCATTATTTTCCATCGCTTGATTTGATTGGTAGTAGTATTTTCCATATTTCCGGTATGAGTGATGAGTCATTCCTATTGCATGTGTTGGGTGTAGATTCGATGAACAAGGATTGAGTAATCAACCTCTCTCTTCACCTACCTATATTACTTTTTAGAATTTTAACCCTCTCCCACCCTACTTTGTGTGGTTGTGTGTTAATGCGTGAAGTGCAATTGCTGAGCTTTTTTCTAAATTATTAATCTTCTCGGGGTCAACTATATAGGTCAAACTAGTAGGTCGGGGTAGTCAAATTGTCAGAACATAAGTAATTTAGAAAAAAGCTCAGCAATTGCCACCGCATGCATTAAAACACAACCACACAAAATGGTGGGAGAGGGTTAAAACTTTAAAAAGTAATATAAGTAGGCGGAGAGAGAGGTTGATCACTGAATCCTTTTTCATCGAGTCTACACCCAATATGTGCAATAGGAATAACTCATCACTAATACCGGAAATATGGAAAATACTACTACCAATCAAATCAAGCGATGAAAAATAATAGAATTATATAAACGAATTTGGAAAGTTGTGTGAGTAGTGTCTTGATATGATATTGAGCAGCAATAAATTGTGCTCTAAACGTGGTCGCATCAGTAAATATTACTGTGTAACACTGTGAGACTTTATCAAAATAAAATTTGACCCACAATGGAATCACACGGTATCAGCTTTGCTGAAAATGATAGTGGTTAAATGTCAGCGTTAGACATAAACGTTTTTTTTTTGGTTTGCTCTATGCTATACAATATTATTTATTGAATATTGTTTGCGGTTAACTAAAGATTACCAAACAGCTTTCAAGATATACATTTCTGCATTCCTAGAAATTCTTATTCTTACAAGTTTTACTGGGAACAGAATTTTTTCATTATTTGGAATACGTGTTGAATGGTTTATTCATATAGCCTGTGTTTCAATTAATATAAATTCCAGTAATTTGAATATTCGCTATAATTTATTTTAAAACAAGAGTAATTACAGCGGTCAGGTTGTTTTCAGCAACAATTCTTCAGGCTTTACAATTATCAATTTTAGGAATTAAGTTAGAAACGTGATACATTTCATATTTGTTACTGTTTTCACATAAGTCTTTTCTTTTTATTATATGTTAATGGTTCACTAATAGTACTTTTTTGTTGGCACCATTATTATTTGTTATTTGTCAGTCCTTGAACTTATATTTAACCTATCCTATTTGTTTACTCACTTACTTCCGCGAAATATTCATATTATCATTCTCATCTCTCATCTCCTCCTCCAAATCACACGATCTCCTCCGTGTCACCGTCGCACTGGCGACCCACTGATCGCTCCCCGTCGGGATTCCACTCGAGCGATGGCCTGCTATGCGTGCGATGTCATTCGACGGCCTCCTCAGTGTATGCCCGATCCATCTTTATTTCCTTCTACATATTTATTAGGCGATCGGCTCTTGGTTGGGTTGTTCCCAACCAGAGTTTCTTTTTGCTAATTCTTTCTGGCCAGCTGGCTGGCAATTTGATCTTCAGTATGGAGCTGGCGAAAGCAGATTTTGATAAGAGTCTACATTACTCTGCTGGAAATCCTTTTCGGGACGCACAGTGCAAGTTTCTGACCTGTATAGAAGAACCAAGCGACTGACTTCACATTTGTTTTGAATAGAATTCGAATCTTGTACTTCATGCTGTCTGAGTGCAGAAGATTTCCAAACTGGTTTCGGGTTGATGAAGGAGTATCTTGCCTTCATCCGTTCCGCCCGCCTGTAGTTCAAACCGTGCTTCCCAGCTGGATAAGTGAAGGAAGTAACCTCTGTCAAATATCTCCCGTTGATGGTGATTGGTGTTGGT